AAAAAAAAGAATCTTAGGCCCCGGCTGGAGTGCCACGTCGAGAGGCGTCGGTGGAGGGGGGCGCTGGCCCCCGCCCCAGGCCAACCGCCTTGGTTTGCCCACCAGGATTGTTTCAAGAAAATGGCAGACAAGCCGGACACGGGGGAAATTGCCAGCTTCGATAAGGCCAAGCTGAAGAAAACGGAGACACAGGAGAAGAATACCCTGCCGACCAAAGAGACCATTGAGCAGGAGAAGCGGAATGAAATTTCCTAAGAACCTGGAGGATTCCCCAACCCCGTCATTTTCAAGACCCTGGTCGTGATGTGGAGGGAGAGCCACCTGCAAGATGGACACGAGCGACAAGCTGCACTGTAAACCCGGGCCCACCGTGCCGATGCCACCGGCCTGTGGGTCTCTAGGGACCCCCCAATCGGACTGCCAAATTCTCCGGTTTGCCCTGGGATATTATAGAAAATTATTTGTATGATTAATGAAAATAAAACACACCTCGTGGCAAAAAAAAAAAAAAAAAAAATCTTATACTTACTTAGCATTATGAATTAATTCATTGTAGATGACTCAGAGGGTGGTAAAACCATTGTGGTTGAAAGCCACCACTTTCTAAGCACTTAGATCTGTGAGATATCAGAATGCCAGTGCCTTCAAACCAAAAGGGAATTGAAACAATTGAACAAAGCTATCCATCAGATAAATGCCACAAAGAACGAGAGATGAGTGAGTCCTAGCTAAAGTAACTTGACTAAAATCCTTAGCAGAACAAAGGAACTATTAGAAAGTTTCTATTTAATAGAAAAAGGGATAAAGAATCAAGAATTTAAGTAGGAATACAATCTAGTTAGAACTAAATTGAAAATATCAACATAAACTCATGCCTTTATAAGAAAAAAAAACTGAAAAAATACATATCTATCTGTTCTGGCTCTGTCCACTGAAATGGCTTCAAGGCAATGTCATTCCCACGATGAACCCTTGTGCATAGATTATAGTCTCTAACACCATTTTTCTGCAAAAGAAACAAGGCTTCATTGGGAAATGGCTGATTTCAAATCTGAGGCTGAAAAGTACAAAGTGGGCCTGGCACACCTAGTTATGGAAGAAAGTAGGAAGTTTCCAAAAATCAATCAGGCTTTACGGAAAGATACAGAAGCCAATCTAAAAGGACCTTTCACTGGCCAAGTCAAAGACAATTTGAGTATCAAAGGAGATTACTGATGAAGATCGACCAACATACAGTAAATCTAAAAAGCCGTGAGTCCATAATGATACACAAAAAGAGAAAAGGTTAGCATTAAAATCTCTCAAATGTGGTGAACAGAATATTCTATTTCTGTTGAGAATACAAAGAAAGTCATGACATGACAGGGCAACAACCTCAGGACAGCGTTATGAACCAGAAATTCACCACAGCAATACCATAATTATAGGATTCATAAATCTTTACATATTATGAGTTTGTATACCCACAGAAGAGGAAATAATGAAGGAAATTAGTCCCCATAATCAACAGATCTTTATGTCATATATTTTAAAAGTTTAAAAACTCCACTAACAAAAAAATATCCTTAATACATTACTCCCTCCATGTCCTACTCCCTTCTGCTCTTCTGAACAAATACTCCAATTCCCTCTGACCTTACCTTGCTTACTGTGACTCCTCTTATTTTCAAAATATATATTTGAATCTCTTTTCAAATGCATATTTGATCTTATTTACACTTATTCCTCCTGTTTTCAAAATTATTCTTGACTCTCTTAAATTTGTGTGCTTTTAGTACAAAGGCCTCCCTCCCTGTGAATACCAAAACAACTTCTGGAAAGGAGTAAGAGGGTGGTTTGGGGTTATACTTGTTAGAAAAGAGAATCCATAAAATGGATGATAAGAACAGAAATGTGACATTCTTCTAGGTAATGGTCAATTCCCCTCATCCTGCATGCAGATCTTTATCAAACAGCAAATGTCATATTTCAAAAAATTCTTAGAATATAGTCTTATTTCCACAATAGTAAAAGAACGTACTATATACACTGTTTATAACGGCAAAAAATAAAAGCAAACCAATGTCTATCAATAGTAGAAGGAATAATTTGTGGTAATTCATACAATGGAATACTATGCAGCAGTAAAAATAAACTAGAACTACACATAACAACATGGACAAATCTTAAAAACACAAATTTGAAAGCCATAAGCAAGTCACAGAAGCAAAATATAGTTTGATTCCATTTTCAAAAAGGTCGAAAACAACAAACACTAAATCATCAGGGATATTTTGGGACAGTGGTTTTTTGGCATGAGGAGAGCTACAACTGGGTAGAAGCACATAGAGATTACACATTACTCATAATGTTGTATCTCTCTTTTTGAGTGAGTAATCTCTCTTTTTGAGTAGTTTTACTACTATTCTTTTTTGTTGTTGTTGTTGTTGAGGAAGAGTTGCCCTGAGCTAACATCTGTTGCCAATCTTCCTCTTTTTGTTTGAGTAAGATTAGCCCTGAGCTAACATCTGTGCCAGTCTTCCTCTATCTTGTACGTGGGACGCCACCACAGCATGGCTGACAGGTGGTATAGGTCCGCGCCCGGAATCTGAACCCACAAACCCAGGCCGTCGAAGCTGAGCATGCTCAACTTAGCCACTATGATACAAGGCCAGCCCTTATTACTATTCTTGAAAGTGTATACACAAGATTTTTATCTTCTCTATGTATGAATAATTTATAATTTCAAAATTTTAAAGATTTAAAATATAAAATTATTAAAATAATAAAAATTCAATATTTATAATAAAGAAATAATACAAAGAAGAAAAAGTCCTTCTTCCAGTGGATTCTGTCATATCTCCTATTTTGGTGGTGAGACAGACACTGGCCTCTCTAAGAGGCAGGTGAAGATAAGGCCAATATGTTGAGATTAGCAGAGGGCGAAGACAGACAGAACATGAGTCCTTGATGATGTCACAGAGGCACTAATTAACCAACCTAGAGACATCCCTGCATCAGGACTTCTGCTTGTGTATGACAATAAATCCCCTGATTCTTTAAGCTACTTTGAAATGGACTTTCTGCTTATTTGCATCCACTGGCATCCTTTCTAATTTGGTCTCCCATAGTTTTATAACAGCTTGTACCTCTGCTTCATCACAAATATCATAATGGGATTAATAATTTTTATAATTATTTGTTTAATGTCTCTTATCTGCTGGACTATAAGCTCTTTGAGAGTAAGGCTTGTGTCTGTCATGCTTTCAGCAGCAACCCCAGTGCCTAGCACATAACACGCTCTCAATACATATTTATGGAATGAATGAATAAGCTTATTTATCTAATCCCCTACTACTGAATACTTAAATTGTTGCCAATTTTTTGTTATTTCAACAAAGCTACAATAAACATCCTTGTACACATATTCTCCACACATACAGAGAACTCCTCTAGGGTAAATACTTCAAGGCAAAATTGCTGGGTCCTAAGTTGTGTATATTTTCAATTTTTCTAAGTACTCTCAAATTTCTCATTAAGAGGTTGTACCAATTTACCCTCCCATCAGCAGCGTCTGAGTTCCTATTTCTTCACATCCTTGCTAACATTTGATATCATGAAACCTTTAAATTTTTGTAAATCTAAGAAATAGTATTTCATTTTGATTTGCACTTCCTTTATTACTAGGGTGAGCATTTTCTTATGTTTGGCCATTCAAGTTTCTACTTAAAAAACACCTGTTCATTTTCTTGACTCATTTTTTCTTGGGTTGTTCATGTTTTTCATTAACTTGTAGTTCTTTATTATTTTGGAGACTAATCTTTTGTCTAATATATAAACAGAGAGATGACAGATGGACAGATAGATAGATCTTCATGTAAATACACACACACAGATATATATACCCACACACACACACACACAATGAGATAGTGTGTGCAATTATCTTCTCTCTCTGGCTTGCTTTTAAATTTTTTTTACGGTGTATTTTGTCATGTAGATATCTTTTTCATTTGGTCCATGTTTTCTGGTACAGGCTGTGTTTTTATGTTTTATATAAGAAGCTCTTCTCTACCCCAATATCGTAACCACTAACGCATTAAAACAATACAGTCTGGCTTTGATGCATAACACAGAGCCACCCTCAGTAAACGTACTTAGCTGCTGTTAATTTTATGCTTTTACTTTTCTATCCTTACCCCTCTAGTGAAACTGCTTTAAAAGTTGTCAGCAACTTCTCATTGAAAAATCCTATAGCCTTTACTCAGGCTATTTCCTGCTCAACTTCTCTTGAGCACCAAGCACTTTGTCCAACCTTTTCTTCCTGAAAATCTTTGGTCTCTACAATAATATACTATTGTGGGTTTTGTCCTGTCAAATTGCCTATTCCTTTTCAGTTTCATTCACTGATTTTCTTCATCAGTATATCCTTAAAGATGGACATTCTCCACCTATACTTTCCATCAACGTGACCTTATCCATTGGCCTCAAATGCCACCTCTTTGAAAATAACTAACAAATCAATTCTAAACAGCCTACTTCATTCAGACTGTTCATTTCTGAACAGCCTACTTCAAACACTACATGTCCCCCCCAAAACCCATGCTCCCTGAAGTACACCACATTTGGTTACTGACACTGCCTATCATCGAAGATAGTAGTCTTCACATCTTGTTTATCTCCTCTCTGTCTCTCATGACCCCAAATCCAATCATTTGTCAGATGCTGTTCATTCTACCTTAAAATATCTCAAATCCATCCTCTCCTTTCCACTGCCACTGCCCTATATCAGTCATCGTATCTCACCTGCTGACTTCCAATCATCCTTCCACATTGCTATCAGTTATTTTTCCAAAGCATACATTTAGTTATGATTCTCATGTGCTCCTTCTGGACAAGATCAATTTCCTAACCAGCACGTTCTCAATACAATGTTCACTGAAAATAATTAAATGAAATTTGGCATTTTGTGCTCAAAAATCTAGGATAATAATAATCATTGTAGTCAAGAAGCCAGCTGGGTACCCCACCACCTATCTCTCTGAAAACTTAGAAAACTTGCTTGAACTAAAAATTCTATGACATGAAGAAGTCCAAAGCTAGCCCCAAGATTTCTGCTAATTCTCCACAGCTTAAGTTTTCATGATCCTCCTTGCTTCTAGCTCCTGCAATGATATGAGTTGTCTTTTTCATTCCAGATGCCAAATTATGGTTCCAAGTACCTTATCATAAGCATCTTTGCTGTAGACATCTTTGCCACAAGTATTTTTGCCACAAATATTTTTGCCACATAACTAACTGGCCCTAAGACAATTTTGCTATAAAAGATAAAATTAAAAATAAAATAAAAGAGGAACATTAAAAAGGACATAAAGAAACATGTAGTACATATCTGGACTACAGTTAAATGTTCTATCACATGTCCAGTTCTTATATTTCACCAAATCTAAGCCAGATTCTCTGCCAAATTCTGTCCATATCACGTTTTCCACTATCAAATAGCGAAAAATTTTCACCAACTTCAAGAAACTTATACCT